GCCCTACTGATTCTCAAAAATAAAATATTTCTATCCATCTTAAAATAGTAAACATAAAAAAGTCAAGTTTTCATATGTAGCTCTATATTAATCATTTTTCAGCAAAACTATATTTGACCTGTATTTAATCTAAGTCACTATGATTTAGTAGAGACAAAAATCTTCTTATCAAACTCTAGAATATTTCCCAAAAAAGATTGCCTCTATGAGATTCATTTTGTACATTAGGAGATTCACACTGCACATTAATAGCAATAGTCTCTTTGTGTCAAGTCTGCTTATAAAAATTGAATTTACACAGAATTGTTTTTCCTCCAACATATATTAACATTTTCTGAGCACCTGTGGGTAACCTAGTTTCAAGCAATGGTAAAATGTCCCTGCACTTGGGGTGGTGCCTGGTGTGGTTAATATAGAACAATGAATATCCTCAACCCAAACTAGGTAGAATGTTACAGAAAACGTGGGATACATTACAGATGCTTTTTAGTTAAAGATGCTGGTTATGTATTAGCTAGCATTTGAGTTACCATATTAAATAATGAAAAAAATAGAATGTATTTATTTTACATAATAATTATTTCATTTGTTAAAAGAGTTATTGACCATATACCCAGAACTAGGCTCTGTTCATCATCAGTGAACTAACCAGTCAAGAAAGCTAGACCTTGTGAAGCTTAGATTCTACTGAAAATTTCAAAATATTGCCGTGCATCATACATGTATTTAGAAATAATTTTTAAATTTATGCATATATGATATAAATAAGCATGTATATAAATATATAGTCAAAATAATATTACCTGTATGTGTGCAATTAAAAATTCCTAGGGAATACTCAATAGAGTCAATCATTTTTTCCGGCACTGATTAATATTGCTTAAAAATAATGATGTCTATTGTGCTTTGTTGAGGAAGTTTGAAATAAGTCAGAAAGTTTTTTATGTTTCTAAAAGATATGAATGTATAAAATTGTATTTTGTAATCAGCCTTACAAATCTAAAGGTCAAGTACTTTCCCAGTTCTGCTATCCAGTCTGAACTGAGGCACATCATTAATTTGATTTTGATTTTGTTCATCGTCTATAAACATGGTTTCTTATATTTGCCCATTCTATCTTGCCATACTTCTAAAAATAGAATATCATAATCACAGGAGTATTTGACTTTACTCATGTGACCTGTCAGTGGATGACTGGAAGCTAGGAGAAACCTTATTTATACTATGATTTTGGCACAATGAAGTTTATGAGGCCTCAGTTTCTTTTAATGACAATGACATACCTTTTCCCTGTAGGAGGGAGTATGAAAGAAAATAACATCATACTTGTGAAATACATTAACTTGAAGAAAGGAAATAAGTACATAATGAAAAAGAATGTATATATATTATAAATTTTTGTACAACTGATCATACCAATAATTCTTACACCTATAATGATCTGTTCTCATGTTAAAAAAGGTAT